GGAGAATTGGTGTAGTGGGTGAAGAGAAAGAAGCTAATATTAGTTTGATGATAGAGCTCGAGGGTTACCTTCAAAAGTGGAAGGAATAAGGATGGAGTATACACTTTAAGGTGGAGAGCACGTGATCCTGTGGGTACTATGCATGCCAACGACACCCATCAATGACGGATGGTCACGATTTCAACTGTATAAAAAGAAGACCAACCACCAGATTCCATGTTCGAATGTGCCCATGAATTCATTATTGATTAAGAAAAAGAACAAAAAAAAAACAGAGGAAAATGCCCTAATGATTTGTCTACCAAAACCATAAATTATGATGTTGTTGGATTCTAATAGTTGACTATATAGCTTTTTTCTCTTTAAAAAAAAATTCCCTTATGACTAACCTATCGTGTCGGATATGAAATGGATTCATGTTGTGCGTGCTAGATTTTGCACAATATTTTCTACGAGAACAGATCTCTTCTTTGGTGAACTCGAGTGAGTCAGTCGAATGGTCAACCCTGCTGCCTGGGACGGCCTACGAGGTCTGGTGGTAGCTTGGAACGGTAACGCAAGACCCTTGTGGGTCAATGGAACGATCCAGGAAGGCTGAGAAAGGTGTCTGGAACAAAGAAGGAAAAGTTAGAAGGGCGCCGGAGTGTTTTCCGACTTATCCCCTCCGACGATCAAGTCAATTTTTGAAAGAGAGAGGAAGAAGAAAGCACTGAGTATATTTCGTAGTAAAGAGTTTTTGTTGCATACCGTCTTAACTTTCGAGAGGTGTATTTATACCTCAAACACTCATGATTGCTGTCAGTATGGTCAGTAGATGATCATTAGATACAGGCGACGTGCGCACTGATTCCTACGAGGAATGTCTTTTCTTTTAATTGCTCGGGATCCCGAGAGACCAAGGCCATGTCATCGGCGTGCCGACTGTTTAATGAGCTCCTCTCGGGGAGGATGCAATAAATGTTCAGCCTCAAAGACATTTATTGTTTTTCACTTCCGAGCCTTACCGCATTGAATGCGATCTCATCAAGGAAATGATGTAATTAAAACCTTGCTTTCCCAAGTCGTGTGTCAGCGATGGCATGCGGTCTTTCTGTATCTGATGTAATGCAATATGCCACGCGTCCATTCCCGATTGGCTGTGTCCCCTGCATCCCTGTGCCTTCTGACATCGATCGTGTAGAACGAGGTCATGATGACTAACCTGGCCTAGCCTAGGCTAGTGACCTGTACATCAGTAGCTCTGCAGAAGGAGAGGATGCCATTCTGGACATTGGTACATATCGGTACCGAGGGGGGATTGGTACATATATCAACCGATGTACCTATATCAGATCGAGGGATACGTGTCGGTACATAAAATGTACTGGATCCCTGACAAATACCTCAGGGGGAAAAGGACTTGTGAATCGACGTATACGTGATCTCGGTGTCAACGATTAGTGACACCGAGGACACGTGTCTTCATCTTGGAGGCTGGGGGGAGAGATGAGATATCTCCCCCCAGCCTTCGATCTTCTGACAGCGAGGACACGTGTCTTCATCTTGGGGTGTTTCGAAAATGTCCCATCACATGTCAAAAAATATTCTACTTATATCCGATTCGTTTATTAATATTCGTATCTAACGAATCATGTCATATCGGGTTTATATTGTATATTAACTGTGTATAATTAGTATACAAACAAGTTTTGTCGTGTATTTATTTCAATTGGTTTCATCGGTTCACTCATACTCAATTCATTTATTAATCATGTCGTGTCTTGTCTTTACGAAACGAGTTACTTAAAGAAAATCTAAATTCTCTAATTCATATCGTATTATATTTGAACGCCTCTTGTGAGTCTCCTCGCCGTCTTTAAAGAAAGATTAAGTAAAGGATTAAAATCATATTTGCATACCAAAGATTAAGTTGAGTTGCTCGTTTTACCAATTAATTTATTTTAATTTATCTCAAACGACTCCTTGCCCTTGATGCAAAATCACCGTCGACAAAATTAATCCTCCTATTATAAATCTCTTGTCCGGGCTTGACAAAATTAGTATTGACAAGACATGTGAACTCAATAGTTGAGCTTGAGCCAAATTCAAAGAGAGGTTTACAATCCAACTAATTGAATTTGAGCAAATTGAAACTCGAACTTGAACAACTCAGTTCAAATAAGACCAATGATCAAAATTTCATTTTGAAACGGTTGAAACGTTTCTATTTTCAAGAAGACCGAAACGAAACAGTGATAAAATTGAAATTATGATATTTTGAGGTATTCTATAATATTTTTAGATGTATTATAATATTTCAATATATTTACACAATTGTTTTAGAATATTTCAAGATATTTTGATATATTTTTATCAATACTTTTAAAAAATAATTTTTAAATTTATTATTTTTTTTATTATATTTTTAAAACGAGTCAAAATATTTCTAAAACACGTTGAAACGTTTTTGACCGAAATAATACATAAAAACGATATTTTGATAAGACTCCCAAAGTCAAGAAGTCTATTGTACAACTGGCAAAGTAACTCTTTTGTACCAACTGGCACCAGTGTCGTGTGTAAAATAAAAAAGAAAAGAAAGCCTAACAAGTAAACAACTGGGGGGGGGGGGGGGGGGGGGACGGCTTAGTGAGGGGTATTACTACTATTGACCCTATGCCATATGCCAACTTTCACTGCTGTTTTCTATTGGATTGTTCTTTCTTTCTTTTTAATTTGGCCGCGAGTAATTAGTTTTTGACACGTGCCTGCCTTATTCTATGTCATGAACCTCTGCGTTCTTTTCCCGCCAAAATATGCACTGTTTGTGGACCTCCTCTTTTATGCTATGCATGTTCTTTCTCTATGCTTCTTCTTTTGGTTCCAACAAATACAAAAAACTAACCAACCAACCAACGAAATCACCATTGTTTAATTATTAAAAAAAACCTTTAAATTAATTCCATGGGATATAATAATAAGATAATATAAATGTATTGCATAATATTATATCAAGAATAAAAGAGTTGTACAATTAGTGGTTAAAGGTTGGTCTAATGACAATCGTCATTATTGTTAGATTTTAAAATCGTGAATTCAAATCTCGTTGTCTCTTGCTCTTATAATATCGTAATAAATTTAATTTTTAAAATGATTATCCCATACATTTAATCATTTGGACAGGGTATATTGCCATGTATCGGTAGCGTATCATCTTAATTATTATATATTTTTGTTTTTAACCAAAAAGTTGAGAAATATAACTATTATAAATTTACTAAAAAATCAAGAAAGATAATTATGATAAGTTTGGCACTCTATGAATTTGACAATTTTGGAAGGATATCCTTGTCATTTTGTTACACTTAAGACCTAAGAACAACCACACATTTTTCCTTTTTTCTTTTTTTCCTTCTCATCACAACAAGTATAACCTTTGCAAGTAGATTACCTCTTGGTCTTTTCTTTTTTCTTGCAAGGTTAATTAAAGTTGTGTTTTTTAGATGTTACATTTTCTTCAATTATTAAGTTGGCTAATCATTCTTAGCACAACTTGTTAATTTAATACTAAATTCGCACAAAATTATCAGCACAAGAATTTAATTCGTTTAAACAAGTTGGGATCATACTTTGGACTGACTAACGAAACCTATTTAAAAGATGAATTTATGCGAAATCAAATTTATTTTTCTAAAAAAAATATAAGTGACATAATAATAGATTATCTACTAGGTACGAATTTAACACAAAATTAATCCCAAAAGTCTATATACTTGTCTATGAGCCTAATTGGTGTCTATTGATGTGGAAAAATTATAAAATATTTTTTGTATTCAACGGTCAAGTATATTCAGACCTGCTTATACATGTTTCGAGTAATTCTCTTTCCAGTTCGATTAAAGACAGAACATCCACGTTTAGATTAAAATATTCATGAAGGATAAATCTCTCATTGTCTAATATCAATGAATTGTCAAGCCACACACACACACACACACACACACACACACACACATATATATATATATGTTTTTGTTTAATGGTTAGAGATGTTCGAATTAATTTATTCACATCTCGATTAAAGACAAATCATTCATATCAAGAGTAAAATATTCATCAGAAATAATTTTTTCATGACTTGATCTCAAAATACTATCTAAATTTACAATTTATCTCTATTACTATTTAAACTAATCCTCCCGATTTACAAATTGAATTACTTGAAAAAGTGCCTCATTTTCAAAATCCTAAAATTTTTTATATTCTTAAATTCAACCTTAAAACCCGGAACATTAATGTAAAAGAAAATGAACCAGATCAACAGCTCGATCCTCGACGGTTTGTCTCCCGCGGTTTCCACTCTCTGTCTCTCGTTTCATGTGGACCCGCCGGCCCCGTTATCGACAACCCTTTACACTTCACTTTTTCAAATACCTAAAGTACCCTTACTTTTCGCGCCATCTTATTATTAAACTACTCCAGAAGTTGCAAAAAAGCCTCGTCTATTTTCGTAAAATCATCTCTTTACAGTTATGTATCCTCGTCCCAAACAGAGTCCGACGTGGCAAGAAAACTTGCCTTCACCTGCTCAGATCTTCTACGCTTCATTCCCCTCTCTCTCTCTCTCTCTCTCTCTCTCTCTCTCTCTCCCCACAGACACATACAAGTACACTAGCGCACGTTATATTCATACCCTTTTCTCTCCCTCATCATATATAAATTTCTGTATAAGTTGGCCCTTTCATTCCTTTTTTAGCTTCCTCAACTCCGAAACACAGATTCTTCACTCTTCACAAATTTCTCTCTCCAAGTTTCTTCTTTCTCCATCTAAAAATAGCTTCGTTTCTCTTCTTTTCAGAGTTTTCTATGTTCATTCTTGGCGTAGCTTGATTTACATTTAAAGAACAATCGTGCTTTAAATTAACCTTCGTTCAATCTTGATTCTTGATTATACATACGGAGAGTCCAATAAAAAAGATCACCATGTTCGACAGCTTATTGAAAAGTAAATTCTACTCGAGATGGTAAGAACAAAACACTCGCGTTCTAATCTGTCTTCTTCAATATATTGTTTTTCTGTAGTCTGGGTTTTGATTTTTATGGTTATCTTTTTCTGGGTTTCTTGATATAGCAAGCCGGCAATCAAGCTGACAAAGACTCGGATCGAGTTGATACGGAGGAAGAGAAACGCAATGCAGAAGTATTTGAAGAATGACATAGCTGATCTTCTTAAAAATAACCTAGATACCAATGCTTATCACAGGGTAATGTTTGTTTTCCACTTTGTCTTTTACTGATATCGTGTTTTTTTTTTTAATTATTTTTCTGGGTTGATTGTTCATGAATTTGAAGAGCATGGTTTGTTTTTATTTCATCATTTGTTGATTAGTGGGTCAAATTCCTTAGCCTTATCATCTTTGTAATTCGAAAATTGTTCAATTTTGCAATCTTTAAGGTTTCTTTTTGTTGAAAACTATGTGGCTTATTTGGTTCTGAGAAGTTCCGGATTATGGAGTTTTTGAATCTGAATAATGACTGGACTAGAGAATAGGAAAGAGCAACCCATTGAAAGAAAGTGAAGGAATTTTTCATTTCTGATTTTCATCAGAACTTTTGAGAATTCTCATTAGATCCCCTGTTTGGAAAATAAACGCTTTCAGGCCCTCTTGATTTGTAATTTAAAATATTTAGCTTGCATATTACATTTCTCTAACCTAGTGTTTGACACTAAGTTGTCGATGTTTGTAAGTTTTTGTCCGGGGTTGGTGCAATTGAATCATTAGGATTACAACCTGCACCCTGAAATTCATCATTTTTCTTTTGTTGTCTTTTTTGCTGAATCTGAATTCCCTGAATAATATTCTATGTAACTGGTTCGCGTTTTATACTAGACATCTTCACCCATATGAAACCTCAACATTACTTGTTGTGACTTACAATTTCCTTGTCCATGGTGAAACAGGCTGAAGGGTTTCTGATTGAGCTAAATCTGTCATCCTGTTATGATTTCGTCGAGCAATGTTGTGTCTGTATCTCAAATCACCTTTCGGTCATGAACAAACAGAGGTATGTACAACGTTAACTAGATTGTTCACTGTCGCATCAATTGTAATTGACCCTCCCCCGACTCCGAGTACAGGGCCTCTCTATGTGTGCCATGTACTGTGAATATGTGTTGGTTTATTGATGTTGATGGATATGTATATTTTTCTATATTGTTGGGTGGTAATTGAATATTAAAACTTAAACCACTGATAAATGAAAACAGCCACATAAGCATAGACCAAAAGAACAAACTATACGGGTTCATACCGTCCCTATAAGCAAAAAACTCTCTTCGATTTTTATCGTTACCATCTGGAAAAATGATATGCACTGTTTATGCTTATTGGGCCAAGCTATTTTCATTTTCAGCGTCCACTTGGACGAATTCATTAAACTTTGTCCTTTACTTTATAGGGAATGCCCTGAGGAATGCGGGGAAGCTGCGGCATCATTGATGTTTGCAGCTGCAAGATTTGCTGATTTGCCAGAATTACGTGACCTTAGAAGCATATTTACTGAGAGATACAGGAATTCCCTTGATTTTTATGTAAATAAAGAGGTGCTCATCGTTTATCACACTAAGCAGAAAAGATCCAGTTTCTTTCATGATGTTTTTTTTGCTTTTTATTTTTAGTTTTTGGTTCTTGTACTAACAAATGGATAACTTTGTCCTTAGTTTGTTGAAAAGTTGAAGTCACTGCCTCCTACGAAGGACAAGAAGCTTCAATTGCTGCAAGACATCGCACTAGAGTCTGGTGTAGAGTTGGATTTAAAGGCGTTGGAACAGAAGCTATATAATCCACCTGCATCTGTTGAGGTAGGGCTCGTGTAACCCCATTGATCTATGACTTGTTAGAATTTATATTAAGGAAAGAATTAGAAACCAAATTGCCAGTGGACTATAAACGTTTGTTTTGTCTAATATTAAAAAAATTTCAGTTGTGTCCGGTTTTTTCCAACTACATTAAAGGAATGTAATATTTGAGTGCAAAACTGCATAAAAGGCATGCTCAAATTTTCGAAAAAACTGGTTGTTAACTCTAGTGTTCTTGGAAGTGCAACATCTAGGGGTTGAAAAAACACCATTAAATTACCACTTATTCCTCCCTTCTTTCTCAAATTTAAGAGATTAAAGGTTGGTTGATAGAATTTTGGGTTGGGAACCTAGGGTCAAATTCATTCATGTTCTGTGGATCTTTGGGGGACAAGTTTATTCATGTTCGGTGGATCTTAGGAGGACCAAAAACTTAATATAATACTGCATTCTTCTGTTTTCTTTTGTTCCCTTGGCCAGAATCATTTACACATTCTAACCAGGTCTTCCCAAACCTCATACATTTTGTGGCATGCCTGATTTGCAGGACTGGCCAACGAATAACAATGATAAATACAAACTGCACAATAGCAGGGATGAAACTGTCTGGAAAATGGATGAGTTGAGTACTGGGTACGAACATGGCAATGTAAAGGAGCATATTGCTCCAAAAAGGAATGAGGAGGACCTCCCATTTAACGGAAGAGAGAAAGTCATCAATGATGAATACAAATTGGACAGCAGAACAGAAAATGGTGTGCCTGAAAGAAATAGTAGAGGTCATCTGTCACATGAAAAACTGGAAGACACTCCCATCAAAGATATTCAAGTGGCGACCATTCACAAAAGAGGCCAAGAAAATGATTCAAATGTGGCAAAAAGTGTTTCCAAGGAATATTTGGAAGAAAAGAAGCCCTTTTCCTACCGTTCAATACCCCCTCCTTATACCAAACCAAATGTAAGCAAAAAAGAAGCCAGTTTGGAAGTCCGTTCTGCTGGTGAAGGCTTAAGATCCACAAAATTGAGTGTTGATGTTGACGGTGATGATAATCTCAAGGATGATTCAGTTGGTGAAGCTAAGCCAAAATCAGTTAGGAGGAGACACCTGAAACTGCCACCTGGTCATGACAGCGGAGGCAGTTCCGAAGGTGATAATAGGAAAATGAATCAACATGGAATGAGAAAAGAAGATGCAAACAAGGGCCATAAAACCTTAGAAAAGGATGGTCATGATCAGAGGGACGAAGAAGAAACGATGATGGATAGGCTTTTGATTAAATACAGTACAAAACGGTCACCTCACCAACCGAGCCAAGCAGAATCAACTCTTAAGCCTCCTCCTGCTTCCCAACAAGCAGCTATTGATACTGCTAAAACCTCTAGGCGCAAAAGCATAGATGGTCCTCCAGCCAGAGCAACATCTCTCCCCATTGAACCAACAAGTTCAACCGATGCAACAAAAGGACATGCTCGAGCCTCTTCCTTTCAACCAGAAATGTTGAATCCAAAGGGGCACGTTCATCCTAAACTGCCAGAGTACGATGATTTTATTGCTCGACTTGCTGCTCTCAAGTCAGGGAATTGAAGATGATTCAGTTAGAAGCCACAGATCCATTCTTTCGTCACATTCTTTTCCTCATTAATTGCATTGCATGTCCACTGTATTCTTCCCCACATTTGTTCCCCCTATCTTTTTATTCTCTATGTTACAGGTTAGATCATAGGAGTTATAACAGTTTCATATAGTTCCCGTCATCAAGCTCTAGATATTTGCTAGATGGTATAACCGAAAAATTGTGACTGTGCAACTGCACTCTATAATACAAATATTCTACGTGTTCATAGATATATTAAATCAGACTCTTTACAGCTTATAGAAGTTTGTGAATGAGGCTTGTTGCAATCTCGTTAACGCTAAGTTCCAAATACTCTGCTACTGTTCAACTTATATGGTACCTTAACACTTGAGGTCTGTTAGAAACTAATTGAACATGCAATTCAATTATTCAGTTTCTGTCCTCAGATCCATAGGATCACATGATGCAGTGGTATACCATCACCACAGTTTCAAGAGTGAAATGTTGTTTTTGTCATTGTCCCCAACTCCCTATCATTCTGTGAAGGGAACAAAAATTTAGTATATATGTTTCACCTTGATCAAATCAAGAGTAAGCTTGAAGAACACATTGAGGAATTAAAAAAAATGAGGGGGGGATGGAAAGCACCAGCATGGTATTTCAGTTGGCTATATCCTCCAATATCAACCGCTAGTGGCTATGTATAAATGTAAAAATTTATCTTTCCTAGAGTGTCAAACTCAAAAAGTGCTAATATCTTTTGTCATACTACAAATGATTGAAGAAATTCGAACTTTTCGATATTTTTGCCAAAAATCTTGGTGCTTTTGGCCTAGTAGAACAAAAGATATCAATAGGGAACGAATGCCAAGATTTTTTTTTTTTTTGAGGGGCGAAAGAGGATGAGATTGAATCCCGCAATCATCTACGGGTGCAAATGAGCTCTTATTACTGAGTCACTCCCTCACCTTTCGAATGTCAAGATTTGGATCATATTAAAAAAAAGGGGAAAAATTGGGTGTAGATACACTTTTTAGGTTTTATTTGGATACAAGTTCAACATGTAAGTAAGTAAGTTCTTTAAATGGTAAAATATTTGTAAATAAGTATACATTTCAGTTTTTATTTTTTTAATATTACCTAATTATCACTCCCTTGATTCATGCCTAACTGATTGGAAGTTTCCTTATTTCAGGTATAGAAATATTTGAAAAGATCCTTTATAGTGTTATTGTCATATATTTAACCATTTGAATTTTAAAAAAATTAATCTCAATTCATTTGGTCTTATCATTTTGAGTTGAAAGTTTTTCTTCTTCACTATTACAAATTTTTTTTATCGTGGTAGAGAAAATCAAAGAAAATAGCATCAACCGAGTAGAGTTTGTCTTCTTCACCATTACAGTTTCTTGGAGTAAGTTTTTGGGGGGTTTTTTTGTATATATCAACTAGTTTTTTTGGTGGTTTTGTGTTCTAGTTATCCGAGATTTTGTCTTCTTCACCATTTCAGTTTTTTTTGAAAAAAACGTTTGGATCTCTTCAAATTTCAAAATTTTCTAATAAAATGTTTCATTGATGTCTTCTTCTTTATTTCATATTTTTTTTAAAAAAATTCTGCTTGTTATTATCTTGTATAATTGTATTTTGTTTGGTGTTTTGTGTTCCAGACATTTGTCCGAACTAGATTCTTTTTCACAATATGACAACATATTAAATAATGTGATAATATATTAAATAATGTGACAAATTACTCAATAATTGTGACAAGTCTCTGGAAAAACAATGTGATAATATATTCAAAAACATTATGACAACATATTAACAATGTGACAAGTTACTTAAAAAGTGTAACGAGTCCTTGAAGAACAATATACTCAAAAACAATGTGACAAGTTAATTAAAAAATGTGATTAGTTACTTAAAAACTATGTGACAAATGACAATATATTCTGTGACAACATATTAAATAACTAGCAATTGTCCGTGTCCTAAGGCATGATGTAACAAACAAAAAAATCTAAAGCAAATACATGTGCATTAAGAGACTGTACGCCATAAAAAATTGCCAATTAGAAAAACTAAGAATAAACATTGATAAATATAATATGGGCCCATTATTTTTTTAAACAAAATTGATAGAATGCAAATCAAAACAATCTTAAACATTGTTTAATGACCATTTAATTATTGATTGATATCCAAATAGTAGTAAATTCAAAAATTATTGTGGTATGAAAACAATCAAATAAATATGAAATAGAAATCAAGAAAAGGGGATTACGAGATGAATTGCAACAAAAAATATAATAAATAACATCAACAAAACCTAAATCAATTAAAACTATTAACACTTTATCGGGTTACATTACACTTTTTGTCCTCATAGTATGTTTGATAATTTAGAGAATGCTCATGCATCTAAATATAATTTTTTTTTCCTATTCTTCCAAACAATTACGACTAAATTCTTTCTAAAACTAAGACCCTATAAAAATATAAAGATGTACAAACTTTATCAAATAAAGATGTTTTTCATATATCATACTTAAACATATTCGTAAAGAGATAGCATGTCATCAATAAAAACTGGTTTTGATCAAATTTTCATGATTAAATCCAACTACGCTGACATTATCAAATTGAGAAACTAAATACATAAAATATGAGTCCCATAAAGAATTCAAGCAAAATCCTCTAAAAACGCCACTATACAGAACTATTATTATTAATACCGTCATTACCAGTTAGCCTAAATTTTGATAACTAATCAAATTTTGTGCTCAAATTAAAATTAAATTTTGCTATTCAATTTAAACCAAATTACATCAATTAAGTTAATTTTATGTTGCACAAATTTGTCCCAAGAGCTTTACCCCACCACTACCCATCTATCACAAGTTCGAGATTAACTATCATCACTAAGATCACCATCATTATCACTGTCAAATCTAAAACATATCTTCAACAACAACCATTGGTACCACTTTGAAAAAGCGAGCTTACTTTTAACTACAATCCAAGCTAAATAATGTATCAAATTGACAACAAATTAAATAAATTATAAGACGTATTGACAACAAATCAACTTGAATTTCAGTATATTGCAGGAATAATGTATAACTTGTAAAATTTATGAATGTGTACAAAGCATTAAATTGAAGTCAAGACTTGAAATTTTTTAGAGAGAAAATAATATTTAAAAACATAAATATTATAACTTAAAGAACCTTGAATAACAGTATGGAGAACTTATTAAACATTGTACATACACCTCACAGTGGTTCCTGTCATTTTTGCTTTCTTTTGATGCAAACCATTCCCAAATGTGCCAAAAAAACAAAAGGCTTGGCTCTCGATCAAAAATGGCTCCTTGGTTCTTTCAGAATTCTTTGCAGTTTTTTGACAAAACAAACACCAGAAATAGATAAACTCATCCTTGTTCATAAAGGACCACTTAGTTTAAACCAATCTTAAGTCCTCATATCCTAAAACATACAGAAAAAGATTGTAAATAACCTAAAAATATGTAAAACTAAAAAAAATAATAAACCCAAACCAATAAATCACTTTTTTAGGAGATCATCGTCCCGCTGAAGTTATGTCATTGCTGATCGATGGAGCTGCGTCGTCGTGCTATAAATGGTCGCTGCAGCAGACAAAGTAAGTTCGCTAAGAAATAAGGATAATGTTGGCTCGCTTATTGAAACAATAATACAAACACCTGGTGTTTCGATGACTGTGATGAATTTCGATTGCAATGTATGCGTGTGGGGGTGGGGAGACGTTTGTTGGCTAGGGAAGTTTCAGTGGCAATGATGGGGACTGCGGAGGAAAAGGGGTGGAGATGTTGGTTGGCTGCAGGTAAGAGTTTGACTTTGGATATATAGGATGTTTAGTGGGTTATTATGAGTTTTGGTGGCAGAGGGAGAGGGAAGGAAATGGTGGTTGCGGTAAGGGGAGACATACGTAGAGAGAGAGAGAAAGGGGAGGGATATTCGGATGAGACTTCAAAATTGTCGATAGTTGATTACTGTGTCTTCGATGGTGCCTCCATAGTGTTGCTGTGAAGATAGAGGGTTTTAGTGAGGAGAGAAAAAGAGATAAGAGAAATGGGCGTCGGTGGTTACAGGGGCACTAATTTGAGGCCTGAATTGGAAATATTAAATGAAAGTCTTTTTATTTTTAGTGTTATTTAAAAAAAGTTAATTTATTTTGAATTTTCTATGTGAGAGGGAGACAAAAAAATGATGTGTTAATATTGTCGAGAAAGAGATACTAACTTGTATTTTAATTTTTTGCCATAGAGAAGGAGAGATAATGTTTAATTTCAACTTTTGTTTTTGTTTTTTATTTTTTTTAATAGATGGAGGGAGAGAGAGAGAGAGAGAGAGAGAGAGAGAGAGAGAGAGAGAGAGAGAGAGAAAGAGTGGGTTAGAGTAAATATGAGTTGACTTTTGAGTATTTTTTTTTATTTTTTTAATTTCTAAGTTTTTAATATTATGGATTGGATTATAGACCCAAATTATTGCAATAAAAAATTTGATTGAATTTAATTTTTTGGAGTTTTTTTGTAGGGCTAAAAAATTAATGGATTTAATTTTTTTTTGTGGGTTAGTGATGTACCTAAAATTATGGGCCCTTCTAAAAAATTGGGGCCTAAAACCCATGTTTTTTTTTTTCATACTGTTGGGTTGACCCTGGGTGGCTATTCGTTGGGGGCAAAGATTGAGAGGAGGAACAAAGAGAGAAAGAGAGGGAGACAAAGGAGAAAGGGGATATCAGAAAGAACAATATTACATGGACTTAAAAAGTAGACTTGATAATTGTAACCATTGATTTCACTGTGGGTTCTAGCATTTATTGTGACCCACTATTTATTCAATAGTTAAGATTATCAAGTCTAATTTTTAAATTCATGTAGCATTACTCTATCATAAATAATTGAGTGAAAATATTGAAATGGATGTAGGTGATAAAGGAAAGCGAAGTAAATAATATAATATCATCATTATATTGAATATTTTGAAGGTGTGATGTGAAAAAGTGATATCTCTAATATGGAAAGGATATTATTTAGAGCAGCATGAACGGGGGGTCAAGATTTAAATATGGATGTTAATTTTATATTTGGACAAAATTTTAGATTTAGATGACATTGATTTTGGACGATATTAAAAAACGAATTCAATGTAGGGGTGTCAATTTTGAAAACTAAAAATTTTGAGGAACAAAAATATTTCAAAAGAGTTAATGTGGTACGTCAGATCAAAACGATCTGAGACGTTAATAGTTTGAGACAGTTTGGGATAACGCCGTCCATTGGATGATGACTTTTTTTGTTACGAAACAATTTGGGCCGCTCTTTATCTCCAAAATTCAAAATTATTGTACTTTATTATATAAATGTTATAAGTTATTCAAAAATTATGGCATGTTACTGTAAAATAATGTGACAATATACTCAAAAACAATGTAACAATATATTAAACAACAAGTTAAAATGTGTGAATATAACAAACTAGTAGATCTCGCAATAGAAACTTCAAACCATTAGTTCTAGCGGTGGAAGTTTCAAACTATTTGGATGCTATGTTCTTTGATCGTCTCTACCACCATGAAATAGTTTTTTGACACTTTATTACATGAATTTGTAAGAGATGGAGTATTGAAATTGAATGAATTTATTTTTCAAATTTCAAAGCAACGAAATCAACTAGATTTCCAGTCCGTTCATGGATTTGGCGTCTGCTTTTTGAGGGGGAGTTAGTTATTGTTTAATTTTAGGACCGACTTCCGTATTTTCCAAAAAAAAAAAAGTAAAAATTGGAAGTGAGTTTCCCTAAATGTACTTGTTTGGAGATAAGTTCTGCAAAGAAACTTATAAGGGGCTAAATCCATGTTTAAAATTATATGTAATGATTTAAGTCCATTTTCTTTTTTTTTTTCAAAAATACTCTTTCTTGAAATGAAGTTAAATTAATTTCCTATTTTAAAAATTATTATCCCTTAATTTAATGTCAATTAAAATATGCCAATAAAATCTCCATTATAAATTTAAAATTCAAATTCAAAACGCTCTCTCTCTCTCTCTATATATATATATACCTATATATTATACTTTTAATGGTTTCAACTCAACACCTATCCTGACACAGAATTTTATGCCTACCCACGACTAGAAACCCATGTGGATGATAACTTTATTTCCACATTGACTGATCTTTATAGACAACGGTTGAGGCCTAACTCGGAGATTCTTGATCTTATGAGCTCATGGGTTGGCCATTTACCTAAAGAAGTAGAGTTCAGAAGAGTGGCGGGACATGGGCTCAATGCACAAGAGCTTGCCAGGAATTCGAGGCTGGATTATTTTTTCGTGAAGGATCTTAATCAGGATCAGAAGCTTGAATTGGAGAGTTACAGTTTTGTTTTCCACTCTCGTCGCTCTCTTTTTTACCATCTTTTGGGATAAATTTTGTGCAATATTGTTTACATTAGCATGTTACTATGAATTTAAATAGTAAAATTTAAATTCATGTTACTATTTTTTTTATTATATTACTGTTTTTGTTGAGTTTGTTACTGTTCATGTTACTATTATTTTGAGCATGTTACTGTTATTTTCTTAAATATTAATATTCAATATTATTATATATATATATATATATATATATATATATATATATATATATTTTAAATATTACTATTTTTTGTGTTTGAATGATATTATTTTTTGCGTTTGAATTTGAGAGAAATAATTATTGTTAAGTATGTTACAGTTTTTGTTAAACATGTTACTATTTTTGTTAAACATGTTAATATTTTTGTTGAACATGTTACTATTGTTATTTTTTAAAAATATTAATATTGAATGTTTCAATTTTTTTTATGTTTAACTGTTACTATTTTTTTGTATTTAAATGTATTATTTTTTGTGTCCAAATGATAACTTTTTTTTGTATTTGAATGTTACTATTTTTTATTTTTAATGTTACTATATATATATATATATATATATATATATATATATATATATATATATATATATAAGAGGAAAAATTTTAATGTTAGTCAAACTCTTAACCTATATATGGATATAGATAGATATGAGAGAGAAAAGATTTTAATGTTAGTCAAATTCCTAAGATTTAGGAGTTTTTAATTTTTAATTTTATTTCACTTTTAAAGGGAAGAGATAGTATGGTAAAATTGAAAAAAAATAAATTTCATAATAAATAAATTTTTTTGACGGATTTAAGTCTGAACAAGTTCGTATAGGAGGACCAATCTCCAAATTTTCAAAACAAAAACTGATAGAGAGAGAGTATTCTAGATTTTGGGCCTTTGTGGTCCTTATTGGCTGGTATATTAGGGCTTTGCCCAATCACCTCTTTGCCGTATATGGACGCTAAAATTGGGCCAGTGGGCCAATTCAGTCCCAAAAACTTTTCTCCTATTTTGGGGTTTGATTCAATTGAAACGCTTACAGTCTTCGCTTCGATGGAAGATAGATACGGTGGCCCATCGCCACCTCCATCAACACTTCCGTCTTCACCAGAGATCGCGACACCGTCGGAAGCCGGTGAGTCGGATGAGGTTCAAGTGATGAGCGAGGTTCACCTGGGTTGTCCGCCTAATCACTCCGGGCCCCACATCTCCCACTTCACCATCGCTCTTCCACCTCGTAAGGGTTTACAAACTTCTCTTCGTCTGTCTATATACATGTTGTTATCGAATGAATCACTGAACTAAATTGCCTAATTATGGGTTTAATTACCCGTCAAATGAATCTATAAACCATATCTTCTAGGGGAGCTGAATGTTGTTTGGGTAAGAACTAAGAAGTTCTCTTCCATGGGTCAATCTTGGAAAATCCTTTTATGTTATATTTTGTCATGCGATGTCCGTGATCATGAGTATGTAAAACGGCACATACGTATGCAAATTTTGAAATGGTTTCAGAATAGAATGTTTGATCCGAAAAAACAAAGATAGCTACAACTACGATAGTTTGAAACCTCAAATCTTCAATTTTCATTATTTTTAAGATGAATTTCTGTTTATGTTTTACCTCGTTGGCCCATGGCACGTAAACAGATTCAATGTCTGGTGTTTTTTTTACTATTATTAGCTGATACTCATTCCTTTTTTGTAAGTAAATGATAATGATATTGATTGTTGAATTGTTAAATTCTTTCTATGCACCAGAATTATCTCTGTAATTTGTAGATTATATGTAGAACTTTTCTTTGTGATAAATGAATGAAATATGTGGTTTTTCCCAATGATTTCTAGTTGAGCCCACAGAGAGCAGATATGATGATATACTCGAAGATGAACTGACTATAGCACAACAGGATGTTAGATTGGATGAAGATGGTGATCTTGTTCTGACTCGACGCAGCAGTGAGTTTTCATTAGCATCAAAAGTTCCTATAGTCCATGGATTCTTACTATGACCATTTTATAGACCCATGCATCTATTTCAGAGCATGTAATGTGATATACCAGTTGGGCTGAAGCTGAACATGTTACCCTGGCCATTAACTACTTCATCCTGTTTTGGTGAATTTTATGCTTGATAATGTTCAGTTTAGTGCAAATTATGGGTGCGTTTGGTAATGTTTTTGTTTTTCGTGTTTTCAAAAAACAAAAAAACAGAAACATTTTTTGTTTTGTTTTGCGATAAAAACTGAAAACAAAAAACATATTTGAGGGTCATTTATGTTTACTTTAATTATGAAGACAAAAATAGAAAACATGTTTGCTAATAATTGTACCACCGTTATAAATTATAATGAATATCTACTATACTAATAATTTGCTGTAAATAGAGTACTGCTTAAAAATTGAAGTGATGATCAATTACTAATGAAGGCCAGATATTTTCCTTCTGTATAGTAAATATAGCAAAACAAGAGACAAAATAATTACAATAACACCCATCAAAGGCAATGCAACAACATCGGCAGTAAGCAAGAATGCAAGATTTTGAAAGACAACCGTGAGCAAGTTGAAAGAGCACATAACTTGGTATTTAGCAAAGCAATAAAGGCCATCCTACCACACAACATCAACTTCATAGCTCACATGAGGACTACTTCATCACAACAGCACCATCACACAAGCTCAGAAGCGCATGGGGCCCCTCAACTCAGCAATAGATCAATAACCCATTTGCACAACGTCAACTTCTTAGCTCACAAGAGGACTAACTTCATCATAGCAGTACATCAAAGCAAGCTTAGTAGCTAAAAAACCCAAAAAAATAAAAATAAATAACAGCAACCCAACACTATCGCAGCCACCACTCAATAGCAGATCAACATAACCCATTTGCATTATCATATTGCCAATCAACTTCATCAATTTTTCCAATCTCTATTTGGCCACTGCACATTGCAATCTCCAATCTCCATTTGAACATGACACTTTAATCCCTAATACACCAATGATTAAATCCAATGACTGTATTTCTTTTCCAATTCCAATGACTATATTTCTTTTCGGATTCAATCCATACACACACAGACCCACATTGATTCAACACAATCCCAAAATACACACACACACCAACACAGACACAACACACATACACAAACACAACTCAAACACTGACCCACACACTACTAACATACTGACCCACACATAGACCCACAACACCACACCGACACAGATCCACAGACAAATCTATGAATAGATCTCAATATATATGCAGATTTATGCCCATATATAGATCTGCATATATATATATACACACAAATCTATGTATATAGATAGGATTAGAGAGAGAGTTACCTTTTAGAGAGGGTTACAAAAAGAGAGAGTTCGATGGGGATGGAGAGATGAGCAGCAATGTTGGGCTTGAGCGAGATGAGTAGCTTCACCGTTGGCCAGGCGCAGGGCTTGACGAGCAGCTTCAATGGAGTCTTCACAGAGAAAGAGAAAAGAGACGGACGAGAGAGAGGGCTTTAGTGAGGAAATCCACGAACAAAACTTGGGCCTTTTATATTTCCAACAAAATGCCCCCAATTTGCTGATAATGGGGTTCGAAGGCGAGACCTCATTAAAAAACAAAATGCCCCAAATTTGTAATCAAATTTGCTGATATGTTGAGAATATCTGTTTTTTTGTTTGTTGTTTTTTGGCCTTTTTTTCAAAATAATTTATCTAAAAAAAAAAATAGAAACACATTCCAAACATATTTTTGTTTTTGTTTTTTTCCAAAAAATGAAAAGAAAAACAAAAAACACGAAACAAAAACACAAACCAAACGACCCCTAAGAATTCTGTATCCAAGATGTTTTCCTAGACTTCCTACCGTGATATTATTAACTACTTCAATGGGCTAATTTGATTAAAAAATTTAGGGTATAAAACAAGAACATGTTGCTACCTATAGCTGAGGCATGTAAATAAATTGCCAACGAGACTCAAATGTTTTTTTTTCTTGTTTGGAAAATCTAAATGCATGGTCACAAATTAGGAGAGGTTTTTCAGCTAACCTGCTGCCCTATTATGTTAAGGCTCTCTAATTTACTGTTCTGGTCAGTCCATCAAACAAATGTTTTTGTAAGTTTGGGAAACCTAACTTGAAGTTGAATAGAATGGCTTTAGGTTGGTCATCCCCATGCTGACCACCTGAAAACTTGCATTTGTATTTTGATAGATAAAACCTCACACGCCCGCGCGTGATAAGTAATTCATACCAGAGATATCTCGACCAGATCTTGAACCTTGCACCACCCCTTGGGATGGTATCTCTGTTGGATGTGTCAGGCATACCACTTAAGCCAACTTCTAGTGCTAAAATCCCAAGCTTCTATTGTTATGTGAATGAATTTGCTGTTAGGTTCAGGTTGATCATGGGGCTTTGGATTTATGTTTTCCTATCTTGTTGTGAACTGGTTCACCTAGGGTAGTTGGCTTAATTAGGATATTGTCAATGAAGGTTTTAAGTATTCTAGTAGGCTTTCTTCTCTTATATGTGTATGTTTCATTGCACTCAAAACAACCGTTTTCTCTTATGTACAGAAAAATTCAAGGATGATTTTGTCTTGACTGTCTGGCACAATATCACCTCGTCAATTCCAAGTGTTGGTTTACAGGTAATAACTGCTTTCCTATGATGTTGCACACCTCAAAAAACATGTGCATCCCATTTTCTGCACTGGCTCCGGAGAAATTTTATTTTATATTTGTACCACTACACTTGCAAAATGTAGAAAATGTGGGCAGTGCCTTCAAGTACATCAAACTTCACGTCTAAAGTAGTATTGGTGTAGTGGTCCTTTGCATGGCTAGAACTGCCTTAAGTGAGGTTCATCAATTCTTTTTCTTTTGATTACTTGCTCCACCTAATCTTGTTTCTCTGATCAGTTGTGGAGAGCAGAATTGGTGCTGGCAGATTTTGTGTTGCATAAGATGTTTTCATCATCCGAGTTTGATGGAATTGTTGCAGTAGAACTTGGTGCTGGTGTAGGTATAGTTGATTATGCATACGTACTTGAGTGCTTTTTTTTTTGTGCTGTCATGCTATTTTGAAAATATTGTATAGTCGAACAGCATTGACTAAGATGCCTTCTTCCATAATGGTATGGAAACTAGCACAAATTAGACAAAACAATGTGAACAAATGATCAAAATTTATTTGATCCTCGTTTACACGGAAGTGATTCATCATTACTCTCTGGATTTTGTTTTCTACAATATTACATGTCTCTTTTATTTCATTTTAATGCCACAGTGCTTAGAGTTTTGCTGTACTTATTGAATATCAGAAGACAGTAGGACTAAAATGGTCTAATATGAGGTATATGTTGCTACATACCATTTAGAAAAAATTGCAGCTCACAGACTAGAACTATGTTCTTCCAGATGCATTGCTAGATTTTCACTTAAACTTTTGTTTTCTACTTAAACTTTTGTTGTCTGAAATTAGTAAGTTGATGTAAATATGATTTAGAATTAGTATATCATTGTCATATTTCACTTTCGGATGTTCAATGGTTGGCTTGCTTGGGTTTGTAGAAGAAGCAAGTTGAAAAACTAAAAATGTTTCGTACCCTCATGATCTATTGGTAGATAAACATTGCTAAGTTTTAATTTGTGGCCATGGTCCTGATATGGAGTGCACTGCCAAACTTATACCATTTATTTCAAAATTTGAAGTTTCTCGTATTAAAAAATCTGAATAATTACGACATTCTGTGTGACAGGATTTTATTTATGGCTTTCCCAGGGTTGGTTGGTATGTTACTTGCACGTGTGGCTAAAACTGTGTTCCTGACAGGTAAGGTATGTTTAAATTCTGTGTGTAGAATGTTACATTTGCTGCCATTACACTATCACATGCCATTTTCCATTGCATGCTGTTCCATATTCCTTGTGTCTGGATGTAGCATAAACATTTTGATATGCGATGTTACGAAATTTGCCTTAACTTGTAATGTGTAATTAAATTGTACTCACTATTTTATCTCTTGCTATTATGCAATGTTCTGTTGTGTGAAGGCTTATGAATCTACTTACATTGTATAAATTTTTCCTGTGCTTTTCCCCCCGGAAAATCTGTAGCTGTTGCCATACCGTACCATGATGGGATTTGAATCCTAGTGTCCACTTCTCAGTGGCCCTACCTTTACCACTAGGCCTAGTCACTAGTTGAAGCATTTGGGATAATGGTTGAATTGAATATGTTAGCCTTGTTTTTTGATATCCATCGAATTGATCTCTTTCTTTTTCTGATATAGATTGATGGTGCATTCTTTTCTGAATCAGTTGAGTTCTGTTTCATATCTGATCAGACTGTGGTGATGAAGTACTTAGCAACTGTGCTAAGAATGTTTGTCTTAATTCTGGAATGTTCAACAGTAAAACTGCAGTTTATGTGCGTGAACTTGATTGGAAGGGTTCATGGCCCCCTCAAGTGGTGGACAATTCTCCACCTGGAGAAAGGTGATTGGTGATAGTTGATTTTCTGATTCAGTACCCAGTTCCATGTGAATTTTTACTCTTGTTTTTCTTCTCTTTTTTATTGCAGTATTGAGAATTGTAATGTTTTTCAAAGCAAATTTGAAAGTGTAATAGTCATGTCATCCAGGCATGCTTGGACCTTATCAGAAGTTGAAGAACTCCAGAGAGCTTCTTTGTTTGTGGCGGCTGATGTAATTTACAGTGATGACCTGACTGATGCATTGTTCACTAAGTTGAAGAAAATGATGTCGGAGAGTCCAGAAAAGGTACCAACTACTACCCAATTAGAACCATAGGACTGCGGAAAAGAATATTGAGGAACAGGGAATTTTGTGTCAATGCCTTAGAATGATTAGCCTGAACTTTCGATCACTTATCTATAAAGGACCCTTTGCCAATGGACATGTGCCCCAACTGCGCGAAGCATCCATTGGTATCTTGTTATCCTTCACCTCTTGGATCTAGCAGGTCTTTAGTACACCCTTTCTACCTGATTGGGTTGATAATGGACACCTGCCGTCATTTGTCTTCTAAGTTATGAATTCTATTCATTTTCACACACAGCACTTTTAGTTCGACGGTCTTTCATGGCTTTTACAAAGTACCAAATTTGCTTATATTTTCATGGGGGGCTTAATATAGCATAGAGTATTGGATTCAGCTCGCCCCAATAGAAGTGGTACAGTGCACCCTTTTCGTAATAGATTGATTAGAGTGTCATGTGAAAGTTCTCAAAGACAAACTGAAAAATGTGTTGTATGTCTCTTTCATTTCAGGTGCTATTCTTGGCCCTGGAAAAGCGTTACAACTTCAGCCTTGATGATCTTGACGTTGTCGCTAACGGATATTTACGGTTCCGAAGTTATCTTAGGGATGAGGGAGGTAAGCCATGCAGTTTCTGAAGAAGTCAACCTATCACTTGTGGGCTGTTAATGTTTCAATTTCAGCTTATAATGTAGTTGTGCAATAAATGATGCAGAACATGGTGAACTCGAATATGGATCTTTACCTTGCTTTGTTGGCAAGTGCATTGATCTTACACAAATTCCACAGTATGTGAGGGAGTATGACAGAGGAAATGATGTTGAGCTTTGGCAGATCAAGTATGGAGGAGGAAAAATTAATTCAGAGTCTCCGGGGACATGACCCACTGCAAAGTATTGATTTTGTGGATCAAGGTCACGTTTTCACTTGCTGAGAAATTTGCAGTGGGAAACTAGAAAATGGAATAGCCCAAGACTTCCGTTACTACGCGGTATAAAAAGGGTAAGATATATGCAAAATCATTTTAGTTGCGGAGAGGTTGTTTCTGTGATTTCAACTTGTGATGCCAGGCCATAATAGAGGAACTTAATCACCGTGTTAAGGCCAGTCCTCCTCTCTTAAGGCATATTTCTAACAGATTTCAGGATTCTTGCAAGTGCTTAAACTATTCTAGCATCAATGCATATCTGCACGATATTTTAATTCTTACACATAAAATGTTGTTTAAAACTCACTCATCAAAAAAATGTTAGTTAAAGAGTATAGTTATAGCATGATATAAAGTAATGTGAATGAAAATTCCATTCTCTTGACTTTTTTCGTGGCCATTGCTATGGCCACATCTAGGAGAATCTTAAATGGTTTGTTTATGTGGAAAATGACTGGAAGAGTTCCATTGCTTCCTACAGGTTAAGCAGTCGTTATCTACTGTGGTTGTTAAACAATTAAGGTTAAATAATTATACTATTTATAAAGTGGGTTTGTCAAAAAACTTGAGATATTGGGCCTGTTTGGAGTAAATAGGTAGTAGTTCTTATGATTATTTTTTTTTGGCGATTTAGAGTTTTGTTACGGTTTCACATAAATTTTTACTCTATTATATTCATAAAATTATTATTAGTGACGAAAAAAAATTTGAAATTCATATTTTGAGAATTATTATACAGAATTTATATGTATATGTATATATAATTATTTTTTATTTTGACACAAAAAAATTAAAAAAGTCATTTCAAATGAATGTTCTTAAATTTTTTTAAAGAACATTACAAATGATTTAATTTTTTTTTTTTTTAATGAAAATTTTCAAACCTTAATTTTTCTCTAAAAAAAATTAGCCAAAAAAAGAGGAGGCCCAAACTTTTGTTATTATGGTGCTTATTCTTTCATTGAAGGTGGCTCAAATATAACACACACAATCTCTCGTGTAAAGTTGTAATCTCATCCATCATTACTAATTACTAACTTGTCGGCCACACCATCGATCAAATAAATAAATTACCTGCAAAATTAATACCCAATCAATCAATCCCTCTCTCTCTCTCTCTATCTCACACACATCGATATGTGCACAGATTTTTTCTTCCGTAAATCGATGTATTGCACCACAGAAAAATTGTTTTTTAACACATATTTTATAGTTTTATTTTATCTTATTAATTTTATTATGATCAACGATTAAAATTAAATCAAAAGAAGATCCTTAGGTTATAGTGAATTAGGTCAACAAATTGAATAAGTAAATTAGATTACAATAACATTGCTCATTTTTTAAATCCTAGAATTATTAGGTCATTTGGGAGATGAACAAGCCCATGCACAATCTAAGGTTGTATTTTCTATAACTCTTTTAATATAGCAATTTTTTTATCCTAATATAAACGTTATTCTTTAGAATTTATATATTTTGTTCACAGGTATATTTAATCTTCACCAGGTCAACTTGAAAATACTATTCAAGACTTCCGCTCGGGGCCCTCAATTCCGTGGGGTCGTGTATGATATCTAGCATCTATGATATGGTTCTCTCTGGAAGTTGTCGATTTTGGTGCGTATCCAGATTTCTGCTCTTTATCCTTTTTAACACTCGAATAATTCAATTATTTTTATATAATGACTTAAAATTTATGAACTCGAGCCCAAAACAAGATGAGTTTATAGGACTTATTTCTTAGATAAGATTAAATAATTTTTTAAATTTAACTTATTTTTTAAACGAATAAACTCGAATCGAAGTCAAAAAACTCGTATTGTCGATCACTTCTATGTGTGAGGGCAGAGTTGGTATTCTGCGTTAAAAAAGAAAAAAGTCAACACAAGTACAGGTCTGGCAACCAAGAAGAAGAAGAGGAGACGTGGAGTCGTCACAAGCAATCTTAGAATCTCGTTAGGTGGTCCGCAGCACAAAAGCCCACTTTAATCAAGGAAATTACCTGTAAAAAACAAGCTTGCCCGGTAAAGCCTAAGACTCCTCCTCGTCAACAACAACCATATCAAAAGAATTCACACCACTTTCTTGAAGCTTAAGCAAAACTCCTCATGTTAGTAGATTAGCACTTGACCCATTTTTCACACTAATTTAAAAATAATATGATTCATTAATATAAATAATATAAAATTTTAATTTATTCTCGAATACAAAACGTTATAAAAAGTGTAGTACGATAAATATATTTAAATGATATAATAGAAAAAAAATATTTAAGTTTTTTATTTCTTAATCTTTTATTTGATATTGTTAATATAGGATAATTTAATCTTTTATAAAATCTTTATTGATTTTATTCTTATATTGCGCTTTCCGAACGTAATTAAATTCGAAAAGATAATCGCTCGAATGTCCTTTGAACCTATCCTAAGAACTGATGGAGAATATTCGTGTCTCGTCACAATCCTGAATTTTTGGTTCATATAAATTGTAAATGTCGATTTGAGAACGATAAATGAACAGATAAAATTGATTAAATAAATCAAATTAAAATACTACAATACATCTCAAATCAAACTACACGGCCTAATCCACACGCGTAGCCTAAAAGCAAAATCAACGAAACGACATCGTTCCCCTTGTCATTATCAGAAAATCCCCCCTTTGCCCTTCACTTTCCATTATTCCACTGTCCTTTTATTCCTCAAAACGAAAGAAAGAAAAGCAAAAAGCCACAACTCTCTCTCTCTCTCTCTCTCTCTCTCTCTCTCTACAGATTGATCGATCTTCTTCAGAAGTGATCCAGTTGCAAGTCTCGCAGGCACACACACACACACACACACACAGCTGTACAGAAGAATCTTTGAAGGCCAATGGGCTGCACACAGTCAAAGATCGAGAACGAAGAGGCCGTAACGCGATGCAAAGAACGGAAGCTGTTCATGAAGGAGGCGGTGTCGTCTCGGAACGCCTTTGCGGCGGCACACTCAGCTTACGCCATGTCGTTGAAGAACACCGGCGCCGCCCTCAGTGACTACGCCCAAGGCGAGGTCCAATTCAGCTCTGCCTCATCCGCCACCGTTCCCGTTGGAAGCTCCACCACAATTCCTCAACCCCCATTCGACACCCTCCCCCCTCCTCCTCCTCCCCTCCCCAATTTCCCTCCTAATCCTCTCCAACGCGCCGCCTCCATGCCCGAATTTGTCATACCAAAAGCCCAACCGAAACACTCCGATACTATTATTGAAGAAGAGAACGAGGATGATCTGGAAAACGACAGTACCCATAGCTTGAAACATCGGAGTAGTAAAAGCAGTGGTGGTGGTGGGGTCAGAAGTGGAATTTCGCATAGAGGGGCTGAGGATGACGGATTGGCCCCACCACCATCGCCGCCACCGACACGGCCGCAGACTGATAGAGCGCCGCCGCCGCCTCCGGGGTCGGAGAATAAGGGGATGACGTGGGATTATTTCTTTCCGGAAATGGAGAATGTGCCGGGTACGAACCTGGCGGACGTGGAGAATAGAATTGAGAGAGAGGAGCTTGAGAGGAAGGTGTTTGAGGAAAGGTCTAGAAGAAGTGAAATTGATTGCAGTGGTGAGAGTGGTGGCAGTGGGAAGAGCGGAAAAGTGGAGGCGGATGTGGTGGATAGAAAGGCAGAGTTGCCGCCACAGCAACCTCCGCCAGCGGGGAAGGTAGTGAAAAGAGTGAAGCAGTTGGTTCCGACAGAGGGGAAGAGGAAGGCTGGGTCAAGTGTGAACTTGTTGCAGATATTCAGTGAGCTCGATGATTGTTTTTTGAAGGCGTCAGAGAGTGCTCATGAGGTGTCGAAAATGTTGGAGGCAAATCGGTTGCATTATCATTCGAATTTTGCAGATAATCGAGGTATTACAGTCTTGTGGTTATCGATCGAGTGTTGAAAAATTCCAATTTTTGAATTTGAAATATGAGTTGGGGCTTTTGATATCTTCAGTTCTTTATGGCGTAACATTGAAGAAATGAACTTTGTTGGAAGCTTCTTGTTGGATCCCTAATACTAATGACAAAAGTGAATCTGGTGTAGTTTATTGTCTTTGTTTCTTACCATTCACATTGATAAATTCTTTGTAGGAGCCAATATAGATTGATAGTTAACAACTGGGTGGACTTGAAAATTGTTTTGCTATAGAAAGCGGGTAAATAATATCAAGAAATTTAGCAAAAAAATTGATGGTTAGATGGGAAATTGGATTCCTGTTTAGCATTATTGTTTTTAATACTGCAGTTTTGGTCACTGATTATTCCAGTATTTATTGAATTGGTGTGCTACTTGCATTGTAGGACATATTGATCATTCTAAAAGGGTCATGCGTGTCATTACGTGGAATAGGTCCTTCAGAGGTTTGTCCACAGCTGATGATGGGGACAATGACTTTGACTCAGAAGAGCAAGAAACTCATGCAACTGTGTTGGACAAGATGCTAGCATGGGAGAAAAAGCTTTACGATGAAGTGAAAGTATGTTGCGGTATTTTATTCTGTTACCTGTTTATAATTTTGTGCTTATTATAATTTTCCTTTCCTCTATTCAATGAACCCAGATTTCCATTGTTTTTCCCTTGCTAATGGATCTTCAATTCCTCGTATTCAATAAGATTGAGTAGCTGCTTTTTATTTCATTACTCTCGTGGTTCGTTTCTTTTACCCTTTTCATCACCTAAGTTTCAAATAGCCAATGGTTTTCTTAAGAAATTGGGGTTAGCGGTATATTTCGGCCTCTTGAAAAATTGGGTCTTCCTGTTTTGATCAGTTAGGAATGATGTACTAGATTTCCAGGGCATTTTTATGTGGCTTCTCTCAATTCTATAAGTCTATGTTGTACATAAATGTGTGCTACAAGTATAACTTGTGTTCCATGTAATTTGGTGTGTAGGGATTGTCTCTTGCTGACAATGGTTTCTTTTCTGGATCATCATGAATTTCACGAATTTATAATTGTGGGAGGCAATTTCTCATTTTTATATGAGAGACTATTCTCAATATATATTGGCGACTTTAAATGGAAGATTGTGCACTGACAGTCCAGATAGAAGCATACTGTATTTGGAGTAATAAAAAATCTTTGTCAACTAGTTGAATTTTGTTTGAATGTTGTATAATTGACTGGCAACTAATTTGGACAATGGAATTCACTCTCCATTGTGGACCCAAATTTTGGGGCATCCAAATGCTAAGGTCCTTTGCAGATGGACTGCAAGAAATTTTTAGCATTATCAACATTTCAACTCTAATTATTCTTTCTGTTTAAGAGTTTTTGGTCCATTTCATCACAGTTCCTTTACTCCATAGTTATTGATATTTGTGTAAATTTTGTTCGGACGAACCCTGATTAGTTTTCCACTTGTTGATATATACTTTGTTCTTTTCCTCCCATTCCTTCATAGGTTTGTCCTTTTGTATGTTTGCCATCAAACTTTTAAAATTTGATGATTTTTCCAAAAAAGTATCTGGCATTTTCAACTTTTATGACCCTGATGTTGTGTGTTTTTCTATAGTGATAGCAAGCAGCACCCTTTAGGTGTTTTTTTTTTTTTTGGATAGGACCTTTAGGTGCTTATTGGTATCTGACAATCACATGGTATGTCGCTAGATGAACAGCATTCAAGTTACAAGCTCTTTGAGTGATTGGTTTGGCTTTAAGGCTCTGGGTATGCCATTTTCCAGTTTAAATCATACTTTCCAGTCGAGTGTGAGCAGTTTTTTTTGTTCTACTCTTATTCACATTCGTTTCAGTTGTTTTTTGGTTGTTTTACCACATTCCATTTGTTTTACTAATCATCTTGTTAATGGTGCCTTAATTGGTCTTTCATTTTGTACTTTATCGCTATGCTGCAAAGCCTTTTTTTGTCTAGTTTCTCATATCTAAGTTTGATTTTAGTAATCATTTGCTTTTTAATTAAAAAATTGAAGAAGTGGAAATTCAGCCCTTCAATATATTGCTCTTTGGTAGGGAGTCTGCTTTCTTTTGTTTTTTTAATTCACGACACTTGGATTTTTGGAGTTTCATTGTGAGGTTTGTTCTTCCTCGAGGGTTATGTTTAGTGAGAAAGTTAAGCAGCTAAAGTGGACGAAACAGTTAGCTGGTAAGTGAGGGCTGCTTCTTCATTATTTATATTATAATATATTGCATTTTTCTACATCCTTTCACTAATCTTGTAGGATATATACATAGATTGGCCCACCTATGTCTGGAAACCTTTGAGAATTCCTTCAATTTTATATCTTTTCATTCCTCAATCTCACTAATTAGAAGAGGACCATCCTTGAATAACATGTACCAGAGAATTTTCATTTTGAGGAAGTGTGGGGTGAAGGTTTCCAACTGTAACCATGCTAGTTTTGTATCCCTAATAGATCACGTTTCCTATGTATAGGGGCAAAAAATGAGTCATACACAAGCTGTGCATGTTGTGAGCTGAAATTGTTGTTGTTGCTGTGTGCTGACTGGTGCTTGACAGGCCGGTGAGCAGATGAAACTTGAATATCAAAGGAAAGTTGCTTCACTAAACAAGCTAAAGAAACGTGGCACGAATACTGAAGCTTCCGAGAGAATGAAATCAGCAGTAAGTCATCTGCATACAAGATACATTGTTGATATGCAAGCTATGGATTCAACCGTTTCAGAAATAAATCGTCTGCGCGATGAGCAGTTGTATCCGAAACTCGTTGCATTGGTAGATGGGTAAGCTTCTTGTGCAGGAAAAGATGTGTCTGTGTGTGTTTTGAAAATAACGCCTTGGATTTATGTCTCAACTAGAGTTTTTCTCTGCCTTGCTGCTTATGACATAATATTGACCTTTCCTTTGGTGTGCTGTTTATAGTTCCGCTTTTCATATAATATTAAATATGCACCTAAATTCTGCCGCCTTTGTTTTTGTGCAAAATTGAAGGTGCCTATACTTTGCACTTGTTCAGAATTGTGCTTTTCATCTATTAGCCTTTGCACCTGTTATAGTATTGAAGGTTTGTGCTATGTTAATAAGGTGTAATGAAGTGTTCCACCCACCCATCAGTTGTCCTGTGGCACAAACCACCCAAATGGCAAATCTATCTTATAACATAGTTAGCTAGCCCTTTGAATTTTATCCCCACATTTTTCCTACTTATTTCTATCAATTCATCTATTTCTATCACAAGTTGAATCATCTAATTTTTAGTAATTTGTGGCTCAATACAATTTTTGTTTTAGACATTGTTCATATACAATAGTGTACACATGTTGATATTTTTTTGATGCCATGTATTTTGAGAAAATTTTGTCAATTTTTAAAAAAATAATGGGTAGAAATTAATTTCAAAATATGTAATTAAAGAAAGGGAAGGGAAGGGAAGAAAAATTACTATTTGATATAGTGGGATCGATTTTTTTGGCATTTGGATTTTATGTTGCATCATGTCTTCAGGTACGGGTTATGGCGGCTAGTTAGCATACAAGTAGCGCCGTTGTTTGTGGTTTGCATAGTAAGACACCTCAAATTTGATTTTTTGCATGTAAAAATTTTCCTTTTTGAATGAAGGTCTAAGAAATTTTTTAGTAAATCACCCACAAAAAACTATTGCGGAGTATGAAGTGTTTCTTGGAATTTTGTACCACTCTCTTACCTGTATTTGCTTTTAAGAAATTGTATTAGAAATTTAAAGTAGTTTGCCCGACTTTTTCTCCTATTTTGAACTGGATTCTCTGTACCGAACCTCCATAATTTTTTAATGTTTTGAGTGCAGGATGGTCACAATGTGGGATACCATGCGAGTACAGCATGAAAGCCAGTCAAAGATTGCACAAGCCTTGAGGTCTCTGGACATCTCCCAATCTCCCAAGGAAACAACCGAGCACCACCATGAACGAACTGTTCAGCTGTGGGCTGTCGTCCAAGAATGGCATTCACAGTTCGAAAAACTCTTTAGTAATCAGAAATGTTACATAAAAGGTCTGAATAAATGGCTGAAGCTAAATCTCATTTCTATTGATAACAACTTGAAGGAAAAGGTGTCATCCCCTCAAAGGCCTCAAATTCCCCCTATAGAGGCTCTTCTGCGTGGCTGGCAGGATTATCTCGAAAAGCTTCCTGATGAGATTGCAAAAACTGCTATAATTAGCTTTGCAGGTGTCATAAATGCTATAGTGCAGTATCAAATAGAGGAGATGCAGATGAGGGATAAATGCAAGGACACACGGAAGGAGCTTGCTCGTAAGACCCAACAATTTGAGGACTGGTATAACAAGTATACGCAGAGGAGAACACCCCCTGATGAGATGGATCCCGAGAGGGCACAGGATAAGGATCTTGTTGCAGAGCGGCAAGCAGTTTTGGAAATAATTAAGAGCAGGCTGCAAGAGGAGGAGGAAGCTTACAACAGGCAGTGCATTCAGGTGAGGGAGAAGTCTTTGACAAGTCTGAAAACTCGCCTGCCGGAGCTTTTCCTGGCAATGTCAGATTTCTCTCGTGCTTGTTCAGACATGTATACAGATTTGGGGTCCATTTCAACGCACCATAGAGAGAGCTGATGGTGAGGTACGGATTGTGTGCTATGTATACTTTGCTTATATCACTTGCAATATTATTTATTGTATAAGTTCCATATGAACCAGCGTTTGAAAATTGTGAAGTTCATATAGTTTTGCTTTTCCACGTGTAATAAATACGTCTTGAGTTATACCATGAGAGATTTTCTCTATTGGATAAGGTTATTGTACAGACATTGGTATTTGTACCACTATCATTTCAAGCATTAATCTTAAGTTTGGATGATTTGTAACCATTGATTGAACATATAATAAAGTAATAAAAATAATATTTATTATTAAATTTTTTATAAATAACACATTTTTATTGCATGAAATATGAAGATATATTACGAGAAGTGGTATTTCCAACCCTTCTCGGTGACATCAATTCCTTCCATCAGAATACCCAGGATGACATGTTTCGATGGGAATGATGTGCTTTCCTAAGTAGAAGATTGTATGTCAAACTGTCTAATGTCAGGTGAGGTAAAATTGGAATGTCGAGATCTTGCTGTCACAAGTTTTAATTACGAAAACAGTTTTTATATACTGGTTAGAACTGCATGTATCAGTTTTTATATACTGGGTAGAACTGCACGTATTTATTAGGTGATTGTATTTTGACTTTAATATGATGGGTTCAAATCACCGAAATAATCTCTACACGTGTATGACTACAACATGACCCTTTTGAATTCTGCAATATCTGGAAGAATATTAGCTACAATCCATAGGGTCTCCATTCATGACTTTAAACCTAAATATTGTTTTGTCTTTCTACACACCCACTGGTCCTTTCCCCTTCCATATTCATATTTTGCACAGCATGCATAACTGGAGCCAGTAGTTCCTTATATAGGTACGGTTAACATGTGGATCTGTAAGTTTCCAAAAATTCTAACATGATAGAATAACCTTGAACCGGGAATACCAATTCTGTGTTTTTTTTTGGGTTCATCGGTCAGAGGTGTCCGAACCAGTTTATGCACGGTTCAACTAATTTTTTCCTCGGTCCGATCAAAAGCAAATCATCCACTTTAGGACTAGAATATTCATTAAAGATAAATTCCTTCCTGACCCATTTTACAACTTGAACTACTCCTGTAATGAATATCAATCCTGATTGACACATGGTACAGTTATGCCTTGAGATAGCACTAGAGAGAGAGAACATTTGTGACAAGAATGTATATTTTACACATAGAACTATAGAAGTCAAGGTGGTTTAAGACAATTGTTCACTCTTAAGAAGTTTAAACAGAAAGCCATGTGCTACAAGATAAGCTTTGCCATCATGTGCAACAAGATAAGCTTTGCCTGTTTTGTGTTCCATCGTATAAATTGATTCCAGAAGGCCGAGGAGGATTAGCCTTCACCAACCGTTTTGCTGCATTAAGTACAAAGGAAACATCTCAGCATTTCCGATTAGATCGTTCTCCACGTAAAAACAAAAAGGGAAAAGTAACTACCCAATTTATAAAAATGGAGCTGAAAGCTCATCCTTTTTCTTTAGCACGACGTAGCCAAAGCTCTCTATTTAAAAAAAAATAGAATGACACTTACCAATTTCATAGAAGAGCTCATTAATGTTCAAGGCAGTTTTGGCAGAAGTTTCTATAAAGAACATCCCGTGTTCTAGAGAGAGTTGCTCCCCCTCCTGCAAAGAGGTTAAAGATGGTCCAATATGGTGGTGTCAATAGAAAGAAAACAAGGTGCTTCTGTTTCAACCAATCCTCATCAATAAGCACCACTGTGCCCCAGTTAGTACAGGCATGCATGGCACCTCTTTTTTCAATCAAGCATCTTTATTATCATGTATCCGAGTTACCAAAAGAAAATTAAGGGACTTCAAGCAAGGGTAACAAGTACTGAATCTCACATATACCTGTATATCCACCTCCCTCTTAGATTCCAAATCAGACTTGTTTGCCACCAATGCCATTACCAAATTTGGATTTCCTGAGAAAGCCATGTAAATTTTGTTTAGTATCCACATACCAGACAAGAATGCATGCACGCATGAAACAGAAAACATATAAGAGGGCTGGCTTATGTATCTGCGCGTCTGTGGGAGCTGCACCACACAAAAGGTAATATAATGCATTTGCTGTGACCAGGAAACCAGTTAGAAGAATCTTGACAGTGCAACCTGTATTTGACTCTCATGCATCACATAATTGCATGAAAACCCAGTGACCATCACTCACTAGTATAAAGCAACGTAGGTGAGCTACAGTACCTCAAATATGTCATATATATGCCAATTTCAAGTCATGCAGAATCATGATATTCAATATTCAAGGGTGGAGAAAGATTTTGTGTCATAAGGTACAGAGCTTTTGGTATAGGAATGCTAGGCAGCTGATAATGAAATCACCAGCCTTGATAAATAAGAGAGTAAAAACAAGTGATTCAGTGAGATACCGACTAGAAAATTCAAGAAAGAAAAGACAGTAAGAGTACAACTTTCAAATTCGTGTCACCTTGTCTTTTCAGTTCTTGAACCCATTTTTTGGCACGAACAAATGTATCCTGAAGTCAGAACATCATATTATAATCCATTGTCCCCCATTTTAAAGATAAGCAAATATATCAACCACATAAAGGACATGTACTATAGGATTGATAGAATTACAAAATAATGGTGCATGATCCTTTACTGCATATGTAGGTGTAGCCAATGATTTACAAACATAAGCATAAAGAGCATCTAGACCATAGGCGCCTGCCAAAATACAGGAGTCAAGAGATTGTTTCACTACTATACTTAGCTTATCCCATAGAAGCTAGCATTTGTGTTATCTAGAATGTCACATAGACTTGTCCATATGTATACTCTTATCTGTTGCATTTCTCTTTGATGGGTGCTTTTGCAGATCTCGTACCCATTCTATCTATCATTCGATGGTGAGAGACAAAAAAGTGATACTATTGAAATGGAAGGGACTTCATGTTTTATTTGGCAGACCATTAGACATCTTGATCTCCTGTATGAGCACGTCAATAAAATTCCCATGGACATCTGAGTGTTGACATACATGGGCATGATCAGAAGATTTTCATGCTAGCAACATTTTCTTCTTTTCTAGATAGAGATAGAGGTATCGGTTGAGAAACATATACAATTACTTTGCGGCATAAATCTGTCACTGATCACACTATGAATGTTAAAAAGAATACAATAACAAAAATAGGCAAATAACTAAACAACCATACCCTGCTTGTGATGTCATAGACAACAATGGCCGAGGCTGCACCACGATAATACATGGGAGCCAGACTATGATACCTTTCCTGCCCTGCTGTGTCCCATATATCAAATTTCACAGTCGCTTCTGATAAAGATAATATTTGAGTGAAGAAAGCTGCACCTATGGTAGGTTCCTGCATCAAAGTGTTCCTCGATCACTCTTGGCCACTGTAAACAAATAACTAACAAAAGAAGAAGATTATTCAGTAGAAACAAGACATGAACGTGAACCTGGAGGTCAAAAAACTTCCCTTTGACGAATCGTAACACCAAACTAGTTTTCCCAGTTCCCATGTCGCCCACAAGCACCTGATGAAAAAAGTAACATTGCCAAGAAAATTCAGGTCCTGAAAACATTAACCCTTTTTCCGGGGTACTTCCCAGGAGCATCAATGTGACTAATTTTTTCCTTTCAAGAACAGCACCTTGGTGGGCTGCGGAACCCCCAAGTTTCAATTAAGAACCTCTACTGGATACCTCTGGGCGACAAGGCTCGTGGTGTCCTAAAAGTTCCTGCTACATTATTAATCCAGAGAATAATCCAGTTTGGCTCATTAATCCAGTTATATTTATCTTAGAATAAGTTAAGCTCATTCTCTATACCAAAAGAAGTTCCATAAAAAATGAAAGTTTACCTGTCTCATTAAATTTCACAAAGAAATACAGTAAGTAAACATCATGAATGTTCTTCATGTTCCAGTGTGGACACTCTACGTCCACCGATTGGGTAATGAGAGTCCCAAGACACCATATGTAAAAACTAACCCCCAAAATAAGATGATTTTGTCTTAGTAGATGAAACTCGAATGGGGATTAACAATAAGCTAAAAATTTGGAGATAGACACTCAAGTCAAAAGAGTTTAAAATAAGTAGGAGTAACACTGAATACATGCAATGCAATTTTAGTAATAGAAGAAGTAGATATAGTGAAAAAGTTAATATTGAAAATTAAGAAATATCAACGAGTAAACAATTTAAATATCTCGAGTTGATCATTAAAAATGATGGAGCGATTGAAGACAATGTAACATATAAAATCAACGCCGGTTGACTTAAGTGAAGGAAACCTCTAACATATTATGCGATAAAATGATACAAATAAAATTGAAAGGTATGTTTTACTGAACAGTTATAAGGACAACAATGTTGTATGGGACAGAATGTTGGACAATTAGGAAATAACATAGTGACAAAATAAGTGTAGTAAAAATGAGAATGTTAAGATGTATGTGTGAAAAAATTAGAAAGAATAGAATACGAAATGATCGTATTAGAGAAATGGTTGGATTAGTTCCAATTGAGGACAAGTTGAGAGAGAATAAATTAAGATGGTTTGGTCATGTTCAACAGAGGCTGATAGAGGCACCGGTTAAAAAAAGTGATAGAATTTCTCTTAATGGTATTAGGAGTAGGGGAAGAATTAAATTAACATTGAACGAAATAAATAAGAAAATATATGAAAATACTCAAGTTAAAGGAGCATACAGTGCATGACCGAAATGAATGGCGAAGATGGACTCATATAGCCAACCCCAAATGATTTAGGGCATAAGATTTGGTTTGGTTTGATTTGGATTGTTTAGCAGCTAGTTGTTTAAGCATATCTATTTATGAACAACAGTTTATCCAATATCATCCTATTCCTCCGAAATTTTGCAAACCAGGGCACTGAAAAAGATTGGCTTCTAAACCATCAGGGTATATTCAAAAGCAAAATTGACACCTCAAATCAACGGATTGCTGGCTGTAGAAAGAATGTTTCAAATTTCCAAGATTTTAAACAAATCCACTAGAACATCAGAATTCAGATTGTGAACTCATATCCAATTAGCATGCTGCCAGCAGCTAAAATTGAGGGCTTTACTATCAATGATCATAGTCCCTAAGAAAATTATTGCTCAACTAGTTAGATGCAGCACGTACCAGGATTGAATGGCAGGTTTGAGTAGGTCTAGATTCAACATTATATAAATGAAAACCAATAATGAAGCATAACACATTATAGGGAAATAAAGATGTTCCATTTATAAAATTCTGTGTACAAGTCATTATGTGGGCTTCTTGTTGCACATCAACAGATATTATTAGTTATTAAAATGTAACATGAGACTGAAATTTGGAACAGCAACATGCTGGAAGCCCTAACATTGATAATGTATTGATCATAACATACTCCAATATCCCATAATTGTCTTTCTAGAATTTTCGATTCATCTATGTCAACCAAAACACAGGCATTCAGTTTCCACGTATGTCCGGATATGCGTAGACTGATCATGGCCAAGAAAAGGTATGCTTCAAGCAAGAGCAATTGGAGAGAAGATTAGCGTGCAAGAGGTGGATTACTTCAACAACCAATTAGAGCATTCCCTGATGCATTTTCCATAAAGAAATCAACACCTTAGGCCTTTTATGTGATCTAGCTACTTTTTTTTGGCTTTATTATTTTCAACTTTTTGGTTGGATTTCTTACAACAGTCCTTTTTCGTATCAAAGAAGAAACCAATCTTTCGATTTTTGATTTTTTTTTTTTGGTTAGACACTATTAGCGGGAGAGAGACGACGAAACTCGAACCACGAGGTTTAAGACCCAACAGCGGGAGCGGCGTCTCAGTTCCACTTAATTTACAGCAGATCATGTTTTCCATAAACAACATTAAATTTTGCCCTTAGATGTAGGCTAAAAAGAAAACAATTGTAGAATAGTTCTCATTGTTTGAAATGATGAAATCAACACCACCCATATCTAAGTCTAAAAGCAGAAATACCAACTATGATAAGGAGATTAAAGACGAAATCAAAGAAGGGTTAAGACATACCCACCAGTTTGGCTTGTATAATCTTGTCTCCAGGCCTTGCCATTCGTAATTGATTTGATTACGCTGTTGAAGAACAGAGAGAGAGAGAGAGAGAGACTAACTAGAGAGCCCAGTTAGAGAAACACTGAGAAGGAATGGTAGGTTTAATTTTCTTCAACTACTTTGACTAACTGTTAAGCTAAATTGCTCCTCTGTCTCACACTACCTCGATATTCTTCTACTTGAACTTCAACATTGTCTATTCAAAAAAAACTTCAACATTGAAATTTCTCCCCAAAAAAAAAAAAAATTGAACATTTAAAAACGCCTTCTCAGTCACAATCCGAAATCTATATATAAAAAACTACAATATAATTTAAATCTAAAAAATAAATAAAATAATTTTTATTTTTTGCAATTTAGATCACTTTAAATTTTATTTTAAAATTAATCGACGATTAATATTAATATTCTAAATTTAAAAGAAAAAATTTGTCACTAAGAATATGTTTAAGGTGATTTTTTAAATATTTTTTTTAAAAAAACTAATATTTGAACCGCCCCATCACCACTACCCTCATCACCATCACCATTATCATTGTCACCGCAACTCCACCACCACCCCCCACCATCACCACTACCACCACCACTGTCGTCATCCTACCACCAACTTTGTTACAATAACCACCACCACCACCATTGTGGATGTCGCCACCACCACATCTATCACCCCACCACCATCATTACCATTACCACCAACCCCACAACCACCACCATCAGCCCTACCACCACCACAACCATCACCATTGTTGTTGCCACCACCACCCCCACCACTATCACCACTGCCGTCGTCACCCTCACAATCACATCTGCTGCAATAACTACCACTATCACCATCGCTGCTACCACCACTGTCGTCAAGGGCAAAGGCAGCCGTGTTCCAGGGTGAGCAAGTGACCCCCCTCATTTTTTTTTAATTACTTAGTTATGCATATTGTGTATTTGTATAATATATTATTTGTGTCCACCCAAAATCAAAGACAAAAATATTAATGCACACTTATATCAAATGAATAATTTTCATTATGTCCTGCTTATTTTTTTGGACACATAAATTAGTGTATATTTATATCAAATGAATATGAATATTTTGACATATTTTGGGTTGGTTATGTACATATCTAGATAAATTTTGAATATACTAGAATTATTTTATATTTTCTAAGATTAAAAAAAATATGATATACATATTAGTTAGTTTACTTGTGATTTTGACATTTATTTTTGCTAAATATAATAAAAATTATAAAGTACACATTAAATTGCATAATCGATCAAATGATTTATAAATATCAAAGTGATAACATGATTATGTATCTAAAGAATAATAAAATTATTATGCAACGTTTTAAAAGTACAAAAATTCAGCGAAGTCAATTCTAAATAATTTTAATTAGTTAATATTTTGTAAAAAAAAATGTTATCGTTTGTATATACTAGGCTTACCAAATTTCAGTATGGTGGGTTTAATAAACTTTTAAGTATTAAATAAATTATTGTTATATTTCTATCAATTGTAAGAAAAAAAATAATAATTTGTTGAAATATTTGTGTCCGCCCTGACACAATTTTCTGGCTTTGCCCCTGACTGTCGCCACCCCACCACAACCTCTGCCACAATAACTACCTCCACCACCATCACCACCGCCGCCACCCCATCACCACCACCACCATCATCATCGTGGTCGTCATCTTACCACCATTGTTACTGTCCCACCATCACCCTTACCACCATTACCCTACGACCATCACCACCATTGTCGCCGCCACCCCATCACCATCACCATCACCATCGTCACCCATACCACCATTTTTATCTTATTCTTATATTTATTACCATTATCACCATTATCCCACTCCCATGATCGCCAACAACCACCACCAACACCATCGTTGTTGCCCACCATCATCGCCAGCTACTATCACCCATCCCTACTACACCAATGACCACCACCCTTCATCGCCCACCACTGTCGTTCCCCGTTGTCACTCACCCCCGTCACACCTACCACTGCCACCATTCATCACCACCAATCGCATTGTGACCCAAAAATACACATTGTTGCCTACCACCACCATCATCATGTCGGGTGACACAAGTTTATATTGGATGTTCATGTCAAAAGTATTTCACTCATACTAAATTTATTTATTTATTTATATTTTTTTAATTAATTTCACCCATATGTGATTCGATTATTTAATCGTATCGTATTGGGTCTAGTTGTTTATGAAGCAGATGATTTAGAAAAGACCCAAATTCTTTAATTCCACAGCAAAAACTTAATATTACCGCACTACGACACAAATAATAAACGACTAAATTCAATATCAAATTTAAATAAATAATTTTTAATAAGATGAAATTGTTTACATCTTTAGAAGAAACGTAACTTTTTCCAATTTTTGTTCTAGTATTATATGGTTTATTAAAGAGGTAAATGCTTTTTGATTTATTTTTAATAAAATGTGAATCGAATAGACTTTTTTAATTAATATAAACCTATTTATAGTAGAGTTGGTTAAGACTAAAGAGGGTCATAATTCTATAATTTTTTGTTTTAAAGACAACTGGAAAAAAATAAAAACCTAAAATTTAGAATGATATAATTTAAATATAATATGAATGCGCGCCATACAGCCTAGTTTGGATCGAAATAACACTGATGGTTCAAATATGAAACTAAAACATCATATCATACTTTCTTTATTCAACAACGAAAATGTGACGATATAAACTTTTTTGTTTTTTGTTTCTATCATTAATTACTATAAATAAATCAATTAGATACTAATTGTTAAAAATAGTAATTATTGATTAAAAAATAGAAAATAAAAAAAAATTAACACACGGAATATTCTTATTATAATATAAAATAAAAATATGATACCAAAAAATATGTTTCGTCATCACAACATTCTCCATCCAAATAAGTAAATGTTGGGACTTGGGTGTAATTGTTACATCACACAGTATTATCACGTTATATAATTGTTCAACAATAAACAAATAAATAAATAAAATATACCCCACTATTTCAATTTTCAAATAATCACCCCTCCCACGTAAGGAGAAAATATTGGGTGTAATGATTATTTTTCAAAAAATAGAGTTCACTTGTCTATTTATTAAGAGAATATTCAATATAATATTAATGTTATGTTAGTATTGATGATATGGTATCACCAACCAATAATAAAAATTCCAAATGAGTAAAGTGAACCGCATTTGGGTAGTGATTGACTTACATAGAAGAAGAGAGAATAATCATCTGCCTACATAGACGGGTAGTTATTGGGTTGTGTGGGGTCAACTTTTTTATTTGTCTACATATTATTAGTTAATAATACCACGTGCAATGTTGATATACAATGAATATTTTTCCCATTTATGGACCCCATTATTTTAAATAATCATCCCTTCAGGTAGGATAGTAACTGACATGTATTTCGAAAATAAGATTCACTTATTCATTTGTTTGTTTATTGTTAGAGCATCTCTAACTCTGACTCTAATTTAGACTCAACTTTAAATTTTGAGTTTAAATGGCCTAAAAAACTCCTCTAACCTTAGATCTAAACCTATACAAAATAAGTAAAATTTATTCTGAACCCAAATTTTATATCAAATTTTCAATGGTAACTTTTTAATCTTAACCAAAAAGACTTCTTCAGCAAAACAACTTCTTCAACAGAACAATATCTTGCCTTTCCCTGCATCTATCTTCAGGATTGTCCCATCGCTAACCACACCGAAGGATTTTTGAAGACTAGTAAGTAAGCTTATTTCCCTTCATCTTCCATCTTCTTAGTTTTGTTGTATTTTTTCAAGAACAATGACAATCAATGGTTGGTGCAAAGATCTGCAAAAGGGATTGACAACCTCTAGAATCGCCATGGTTTGTTGTTTCTTATATTTAGAGGGTGTATTAGGCTTCTTATTTTTGGAGGGTGTATTAGGTTTCTTCTTTTTTTAGGGTGTCTTATTTTTTGGTGTTCTTGTATGAACTCATGATGGGTTGTGCTAAATTCTATTGGTTTTGGAGGAGAAAATATCTTTCTCTCTCTCTCTCCCCATCACGACATGCATGCACTCATAAAACAATAGCATATGTACTATGGTGAGGTTGGAATCAGTGAAAAATTTTAGCTTCAAATTTTTGTTTTTTAATATTTCATAGTCCGTTAAAAAATAAAATTCAATCATTTCGGATATATTTATGTTCCTATATATTTTCACCATTTTCTTTGTGTTTAGTTGATGCTAAGATGCCACTGAAAGAGAAAAAAAAATAAAACTGAAAAGGAGATGTGCCTGCAAGATACTGCACAATATAAATACTAGAACAGATTTTTTCTGTAGTGAACATGTGTCCGTCAATCGGATGGTCGATCTTGCTACTTGGAACAGGTTGTGAGGGTCGAAGGTGGATAATGAATCGTTTGTACGAATCACCTGAGTGATCTCGGGAGGTTAAAGGAGGTTCCTGGAACAAAGAAAAATAAGTTAGAAGGGCGCTAAAGTGTTTTTTCGACGTATCCCCTCTGACGATCAAGTCAGCGCTTTGAGAGAGGGGAAGAAGAAAACACTGTATGAGGTTGAGAGAGGGTTTATTGCATACCTCTTTTCTGCGTTGGTGAGGACTATTTATACCTTAAAAACTCAGCATTGCTGACAGCGTAACTAGTAGGTAATCATTGGGTGTGGGCAGCGTGCACACCAATTTCTATGAGTAATGATCTTATTCTTTATTGCTCGGGACCTCGAGCAACTAATATTTTCTCCTCGGTCTGTCGAGCGTTTAATGATCTTCTCTCGGCGGAGGTATAATAAATGTCTAGGCTTTGGTACATTTATTACCTTTTACTTCTGAGCTCTCATGCATTAAATATTGTCTCATCAAAGGAATGATGCATTTAATACTTGTTTTCCCAAGTCGTGTGTCAGCAAGGGCATTTTGGTCTTTTCGTCTCTGATCTGACACAATACGCTACGTGCCCATTCCCCTTTGGTTGAGTCTTTTGCATCCTTGTGCCTCTTGACACCATTTGAGTAAGAGGAGGCCATGATGGCTAGTCTAGCCTTGCCTAGGCTAGTAATCTGTCCATCAATAGCCCCTGCATGTACAGAAACG